GCACTGGGCGCCGCTGCACCCTCGCCGCTGCTTTTCGGGACGGCAGCCACCCCTCAGCCCATTCCGTCCCGTCTTTTATCTCGCCCCGTCCCTCATCCATTCCCTCATCCCGTCTCTCGTCCCGTCCCGTCCATTCCCTCATCCCGCCCATTCCCTCATCCCGTCTCTCGTCCCGTCCCTCATCCCGTCCATTCATTCATCCCGTCTCTCGTCCCGTCCCGTCCATTCCCTCATCCCGCCCATTCCCTCATCCCGTCTCTCGTCCCATCCCTCATCCCGTCCATTCCCCATCCCGTTCCCCGTCCCGTCCCTCGGCGCGGCCATGGCGCTGAGGCGGCTGAGGGCGATCCCCTCGCGGCGGGCGCCCCCTGCCGGCCGGCGCGTGCGCCGCGGGGCCCGGCCTGGGCCCGGAGCCGCGCTCGCCCCGCGGGCCGCAGGGATGCCCCGAGCCCTGCGGGGAAATCAACCTCGAGCAGCTCTTAAACCTTTAACAGCGCCTTTCTAAACCCTCCGGGACAGATAAACCCTCTGACACACCCTTCAGTGCTAGCGAGTAAGGTGTTCTTTACTCTTGCTCGAGAGGGGGGGGTGTGTCTGTGTGCCCGACAAAATTTTCCGGCCTCCACACAAGATGCTCATACAAAACTTCTTCACCTGTTTGTATATTTTTAGCAAACAAAGAGATTAATGTTCACTGATTCTAAATCACACAGTTCATTCATTAATTAGTATTCTGAACTCTCTTGCTTATGGATTTCTCACTGTTCCTGCTAATTTATATTTTTAGTCTTTTTAGCATCTTTTTTCCTCCAGCGGGGATTTTCCAACACAAATATAATGAGTCTCTGTTATCTTCTTCTTTACCTTCTGGTTCCTGAAAAACATGTTTGTAGTCCATAAATTCTTCACTTCTTGTATCCAATTTCAACAGTACATCACTCTCTCCCAGGCCTTGCTCATTGAAGCATATCGAAACTGGCTTAGCAAAACTTTAAGTTTCTGTAATTTTCCCAAGGTGTATTCCCTAAAAACCTGCTCATGCTAAATTTTGGCTAAAAGTGATATAACACATTGCTTATAATCAATGCACTGGTTATTATTAAATAAAACAATTACTTTAAATTAATTTAAACTGTTAATTAAAAATTAGGAAAGTTATGTAATTTCTAACAGAAGGATTTGGTAGATGGTCATAATCTTTTTAATCTCGAATTTTATGCAGGTATTTGCAGCTGCCTCTGCTCGAGCAAGCTCCCTATCTCTGCATGGCTCCCTTCTGCCTCCTATAAACTGTGATAATATCACTTTCCTGCCTCCCAAGACTGCTGTGAGCAAATGCATTAGAAAGTTTTTTGGCTGGGCTTGTCTTTCCCTAGTGCTCTAGAATGATTAGCTCCTGTAGTTGTGACAGTTGTACAACTGCAGTATTTTATAAAACACCGGATAGAGGCTGGGGATTCTGCCCCTGTCCTACTCAGGCGAGACCCCACCTGAGAACTGGCCCAGCCCTGGGGGCCCAGGACCACAGCACAGGACGGACATGGAGCTGTTGGATGAGTCCAGAGGAGATCACCACTGTGATCAGAGGAATGGAGCAACTCTGCTATGAGGAAAGGCTGAGAGAACTGGAATTATTCAGCCTGGAAAAGGGAAAGATTTAGAGTGACCTGATTCTCTTATCTGAAGGGAGATGACAAGAAAGGTGGAGAGAGACTTTCTACAAGAACATGTAGTGACAGGACGAGGCAGAATGGCTTCAAACTGACAGAGAGGAGGTTAAATTTAGACACCAGAAAAAATTGTTTACTGTGAGGGTGTTGAGGCCCTGACACAGGACACACTGAGCTGTAGATGCCCCATCCCTGGAAATGCTCAAGGCCAGGTTGGTCTAGTGCAACCATGGTAGGGATGTGGAACAAAATGATCTTTAATCTCCCTTTCAACCTAGGCTATGCTATGATTTCGTGATTCCATCATCTGCTGTGACTGCTCTCTTTGTGCACACTGCTGTAGGAATTACACCTACTGGAGATGAGTATACCCAGCTCTGAAAGAAGTTTTTGGAACTTCTGCACTCCCCGCTTTTGTGACTGCAATTTAAAAATCCACATTTGTAGTGCACGGTGTGCTGTCAAAGCTGAGATCTGCAGGATCTAAACAATTTTGTGACAGCTGCAGGATGGCATTTCAGTTTCCACGGAAACTGGCACAAAAATCAAGGTGAAGTGTTGACTGATTATCTAATAATAAAGCTGAGCATTTAAATGTGAAGTTCTTCACCTTCGTTTTGCTAAGAAAACTTCTGTTCCTACAGTACCCAGCAAATGCAATAGAGGCCTCATGCCTTCAAAGTGTGGTCACAGCTTGGGCTGTGTAATCTCCTTTCCAGAGATGAAAGACAAAATTCAGCCTTGACCCATTCAGCCACAGAGCCTTATGCTCTGCTTTTAAGATAAAAGACTGGTTTGTCCCCACAATTACTGCACAAACCAACACCATTGTTTATATGACAAATTACAGAGTAATTGCAAATTACAGAAGTTCTTTTGCTTTACTGTGTGTTTTTCTACTGTGCATTTCCAGAACTTTTCTGTGCTCAAATGCATTTCCTTGTAAAAAGTTCTCATTGCATACACTTTTTATCTGCCTACACTCTTGCTTATCACCTGAATTTAATGGCTCTTTGGCTTTGTACTCACTGGACTGTTGTTTTGAGTCAGTAAGTTTGATGGTTTTGCTGAACATTCCTTTTTGCAGGTCATTGATTTCTAAGGTTAACAAAATGAATCCTCCTACTGATCCTTGCTACGTCCCACTAATCTCATTGCTATATCCTGAACTGCTCAATTACCTTTTGTCTTCAATTTCAGATGCATTTATCAAACCCACAGATCAGTCTTTTGTTCAGGAAGCAGTTTCATATAGGATTCAAGAACATATTCATGTGAATATTTCTCATACTTATATTTCAATTTGCTAAGGCTGTTTAAATTTTCTTGGTTAATTTGCTTCTTGACATACCCTTTTAAGTGTACTTTCTCCACTGCTATTTTTTTTTGTTTTGCTAGAGATGTCTTTCTTTCTAACCTCTATTCTTTTCTGCTCTTGAAGAAGTGTTCTTCCAGTATTTGATAGTGTTGCCTTTCTACTTTGCAGAACTTTATCTTTTCTACCCTCCTGAATCATTTGATTCCTTTGCCATCCTTTCTTCACTCTAGGCAGAGAGCAAGAGTATTCAATATTCTTCTGAAGGACATTTGCTCTGTTTTTCTCAATAGGAAATTAGGGATTTTCTTAGGCCTGTCTTTTGCATTTCTAACTCCATGTCCCACTTTTTGACAGGGGTTGATATCTACTTTGCTAGGTTTGGCATGATCAGTTGTATCTTGGCTTGGACATATGGAGGAGAACACTAATGCAAAAACCCAAAACAGCAAAGTTCATGGCCTAACACCCTGTGACACCCTTTGGATCACCTGGGTATTAATTCAAAAGGAGCCAAGCATAAGTCTTATTCCTTTTGTATGATCTGTTTTGAACCCAAAAGATGCCAGTTTCACATGTCTAGCTGAGTCTGCTCTCACAGATACTGTCTTTGCTAGCAGTACAATATGGAGAAGAAAGGGCTTTTTACACATCCATTAACATGTGAATGGGTTGTCTTTAAGTGTATTACAACTGCAAGGGCCACATATCTTTCACAAATTTAATAAAAGAAGCCCAAACTAAATTCTGGCTGCAGAAACCCCTGTGCAGTTTGTCTTGGGACTCTATCACTCTGAGCTGCATTTTGCATATCAGAAATCTCTTTTTCTCATGCCCAAGGACCATGTAGCCATTTACAAACCACACTGACATCCCAGAACAAGTCACTGCCTTTGGCAGTGGCTCAGGGGGCTGGGATCTCAGGAATAAACAACAAAACTGGTGCTCTCAGGCACAGTAGCTTCTTTGCTAAAGAGAGGCACATTCTTAGTAACTGAATATGGCTGGAGATAAGAGTTTGATACCAGAGCACAGAGAAAGAATGGAAAGAACACCACTCTTAATCAACAAGCTTGCTTAGAAATACAATTTCTCTTTGGAATTAAAGCTGAAAGAAGTTCTCTTCGGACAAAAACTTGGGTTTGTAGGATTTGATATCTTACATGATCCTATTCTATTTCAAATGTATGAAGTTAATTAAGGGCCATGTAATTTCTTTCACAGAAGAATTGAAGCTCTAGGCTCCTCTGAGGAAGCAAAGAATTTGAACATGTGAGGTGAGTACCCCAAAAACCTCATGGTAAATCCCCTCACATTCAGACAATTATCTTCCAATCATTTGAGAAACTATGAAAAATCCCAAGCCCAGAATACCCATATGCTTTAAGGAGAGGTGGGGACGGTGTGTCACATTTTAAAAAAGAAATGGATACAAAGGCACTTCTGTTTAAAAGCCTTCAGGGTACTCTGAAATGCCAGTGGGCAAAGCCTGGCTGAGCAGGAAGCTGATAGTAGATGATAGTCTGCAACAGGCATGGAGTTTATACAACCTTGAACATTGATTAGGAATTTAAATTAAATATGTTTTGCTGAACAGCTTTGAGCTACTGCTTGTTGCATTTTTTGGAAGAGGACCTTTGATGGCTAATTGGGAAGCAACATGTGATAAAAAAGAAGCATGAATAGCCTAAAAAAAGCTACTTACACAGATTAGAGTGGTGTTCTATTTTAGATAGTGGTGGACACATGGAGGTTTCTGCAGGACCAAAATACTGCTAGCAGGTGAGTATGTCACCACCACTACAGTCTGACAGAAGTCCATTAGCTTAAAAAGGAGTCTTTTAAGACAGGAAAAGGACAACATATCTAGGTAGTCTGGTTCATTGGAAACACCTCCTCTGTTTTCAACCAGGACACATCAGTTCCTTGATAGAAGAAATACACATTCAACAGTATTTTGAGTGACTTCCATTTCCAGTAATATTGTTGTACATAGGAAAAGAGGTATGTTTGTCTTAGGCTTTTTTTTTCTTTGAAACAGACAACAGAAAGAACAGAGAAATTACAAGAGGTAGTGAATTTAGCAAACCTGCACATAAAACAATCTTTCATAATAAAATGCTGCATTTACAGCTGTAAATGTACACATCTGTGTAAGTTAAAAATACAAAGCTGCTTTTACTGTGTTTCTTGCTCTTTTTAAGTTCAGGGAATGAAGTAGTCAAGTGCTGGACTTAAAGTGGTGAACCTCATTGCATTGGCAAAACCAAACCATTCATGCAGCACCAGGCTTTTGACTTAGCCTAAGTGAGAAAGTTAGACAGTTAGTGCAACCAAAGTGCAAATGTGTTCTTCACAGCGTGTACATTTTGACTGGCTTGTAAAGTGAATGTAGAAGTTCATGACTCTCCCAGGCAGCTTCTTTTGATGGTTGAAGAAAACACGATCTGCAACACAGTGGGCCACAGCCTGACTTGGAATGATTGGACCGGTGTTCATCAGACAGTGGAGAAAAGTCAAAGTCAGCTACCTGGAAAAGGAACATCAGAAAGATAATTTTTAGTTCAGTTCCACTGGCTCAAGTTCAGCAAGAACACACTGGGCTACAAATGGCACTTGGTCCTCAACCATTTTCACTCAGTCACTAACTTCAAATAGACTTCTGATTTATAGCTGCTGTGCACATGGCTTATAGGCAATGTCTCTAGAGGGATATAATTTATATTGTGGCACAGTGTAAAGGGCATTAGGTACTTTCCAAAGTACCACAAAAGCTACTTTTGATTTAAGAACTCATGCTTATTGCAAACACCTTTTGTAGCAAGTGAAAGTATATTAGAGATGGAGGGAGCTGGGGAGATGAAGGCCACAAACAAGGGGTAGGTAACAATTCAGAGCTGCTTTAGGTAACATACCCCTGCTTTTTTATTATCCTGTACCCTCTTGCACTGTCTGCTTGCTTTCTTTCATGTAACTACTCTAAGGTAGATCCTCTGGAATGGATACTTCAATGCAAGCATCTGGTTGGGAATATTAACAAAGTCCCCATTATTATTCTGGCAATTTAGAGTTCTCTGCAACAAACCAGAGGCATGGCTGTTTCTCCTTTTGCCTACACCACTTGGGTTTTTTGGTGGAACAGATCACACTTACCAGGGGAATTCTCCCTCCCACTCTGTTTGTCTGGAGATTAAAGAACCTTTCATATCAGATACCTTTCATGGCTGAAAGCTACCTAATTACTATCCCAGATCAAAGTAAGAGTAACTGATTACCTCCACGAGATCTTTTTGTTGGGTGTTACTTCGAAAAGCTGTGTACAGCACCAGTACCAGCATCACTGAAACCAGAGCAGTGCAGAGCAGGACAAAGAAAGCTGGGTGGATTCCTAGGAAAAAGCACAAGGACACATTCCTGGAGTAACACAATGCCCTAGAAAAAGGCAACAGTGACAAGGAAACAAGAAATTTTAGGAGTATTTTTAGAAAAAAGAAGGAATGTGTGTAAGAAGGAATAAACTTTTCAGCCCTGATCGCTCCAGGTTTTTCTGAAATCTCAGGAGTGGGAGAGGGGTTTGTAAAGGTCCTTCCCTTCATGCCCTCTTTTCTCTTGAAGAGCCCAAAAACCTCCACCCGGTTACATATGTTAGCTGACTTCCCGGGGTGTTTGTGGTACCCCAAGAGGACAGGAAGGACTCTCACCTCCACAGCAGCCAGGAGCCTCCAGCAGAGGATCCAGCCCTGAGTGCACACCAGTGCCTTCTGGAGTGCTGGCCTGTCTGTACACAGCTGACTCACAGTGATATGGTGTGACCAGTCTGTGTCACAGCCTGGCTGTGCCCTGTCCTCTTCACTTGGCCACCTAACAACTCTCCCAGATGGTTTAAGGACCCAAGAGGGGCATGTGTGACCATGCATGGGGGAGCCAGCTGGTGTCACCAGCAGGAGGGACAGAGACTCATAATGGAATGGAGGCTAGAAAAATCTACCCTCAAAAATCCATAACTAAACTAAGCAAAAAGAATTGAGACTGCTTAAATAGGGTAGTGTTACAGATACATATGTTTTCCTAGTTATCCTCTCTAACTACAAAAGCTGGACTACTTAAACTGAAAAATATTTCATTTAAAAGTAATACAGCCTTCTCTGTGCACTTGGTAGCTTCAAGACACTCTTGGGACTAAAGGTTCAGCAGAACACAAGAAGCTCAGAGCAATTACAACAGGCACATTATAAATTCTCATTTCCCTTTTTATTCCTCTCCTTTTAGGTATCTACACCACATTCTTGGAACCTCATCTGCAGGCTGGTTAATCCACGTTTGTCCCTAACCTGTTTGGGACTCTCTGTGCTGCTCAGCCTCCCTGCCCCTCACCTGCTGGCCGCACTTTGATCCCGTGGTACGTCTGCAGCATCGTCACGCCGTTCTCCACCCTGACACTGAGGCAATACTGCCCCGCGTCCCTGAAGGTGTGGCTGAGGTTGTAGCAGGAGCCGCTGATCTCCACCAGATGGCATTTGTCACCTTCTAGTGGAATGCATTCGGATTTTATAAGCCAGCATAATGCCAGTGGTGGCCTGAAACGACAAGAGCAAAAAGGTAAAATTAAAAAAGGTGAAAACTGCAAAAATTTCCACGAAGATCTTGGCTAAAATAGCAGAATAATTTTGAAATGAATGAAGTTAATTTAAATACGAATAAAGAAATAATCAACTGCACTGTTGTTCGGTTTATAATATATGCCAAATGAAAAAGTTCTTTGTGATGCTTCTATAAAGGCAGGTCTTTCAGCTGAGAGCTGAATACCTGCAAGGGTCATCAGCAGGCCACTGTGTGTAGAAAACTCCTTCTATAAACTCTCCAATAAAGATAAAAGGAATCTTTTTTCCTGCACTTCCAAGGGAAGGTATTTTTTTCTTTGTCCTTCCCACACAGAAATCACTGTCTTTACCACTGAAGCACACCCAAGACTTTTAATTAAAAAACCCTGCCAATGAAACTGGAAAGAATATGGGCTCTGCACAAAGGACTAATAGCTGGAAAATGTAAGTAAATTTCAAGGATCACAGCATTCGCTTACATTAACAAAAGGGGTTTTATTTGCTATCAAGCAATTTAGTGCAACCCACTTCATGGCCATGTGGCTTCTCACCACGTCTAATTGAAGCCTTCTATTTACCTTTCCAGATCCCTGTTTCAACTGATCCCGCTTGAACTCACCTTATGCACTATAGACTTTGATTCTGACAGCAGACAGAGCTTTTCTTTACCCTATTTTATTAGTATTTTGTTTCTTATCTCTTTACAACATTCCTTGCTGCAAAAAAGAATTACGTTTATGTGTTTAGCTCATTTTCTAGCTTTGTTTTTGATAAGCCATCTCTTTGTCACTGCATCTCTATCTTAAACTCCTCTTGCATCAGCGCCAGTCCTGTGACTAGGAGGTCACCAAGCCTGCTCTTAGTGATCTCAGGTTTGGCTGTTCACATTTACTGGGATGACATCTCCAGTTCTCATTCCTGCCAATGTGCCTTTCACTTTCTGAATGCAAACTGTGCTGCTTTGTCTGTTGGGACTGTTTATGCCTTTGGTAAATGACTCTGTTTGGGTGCTGCTCCCTCCAAAACTCCAAAGTGTTCTAATGCTGCAACTTGAGAGAGCTTGTGCTAGGATTGAGGTGCTCACAACTCTCCTGTTTTTCCATGATCCTTGCTGCATGGAGCTTCTATGTCTTATTCATCTTGTGGCAATCTAGACTTTGTCAGAATCACTCCCCAAACCTATTGATCCCCTATGCCAGTCAAACTTTGCTGCTATGCAACAGGACTTAGAATGCATTTCAATATAATAGCAGGGAAATTGGTGAAGGAGGAAAGTTCAGAAAGAAGTTTTCAGATGTATTTTTTCCCCACTATTTCTCTGGCTACTTTTCTTTTAATATTCCCATTACAAAGACTAAAAAAAACCATTTGCTTTACATAGGAAGATTCTACTCTTCTGTAAAGATGCAGAATCTTTCAGGCTCTTAGAGCTCATGGCATTTCGAGTCAGGAAAATGCAATATTCAACAGTATTTTTGGGGGGGAAGGAGGTGGTTTTGGTTTTTAAAAATAATTGTTCTGTGGGGTTCAACTGACTATTTTTAGGAAACACTGGGGGAAAACTTAAAGAGACAATTTTGGGGGGAAAGAAGTTGTGTCTGTTACTTACGTGCCATTGATATGAAGAGATAAATTCAAGTTTTCCATTACGTGAGTCTCTCTGGAGCCCACTACGTTAATACTTTTAACAGCATCTGAGAAGAGATGAAAAGCCAGCATATCACCCTCCACACACAAACTTGAGTCTCACTGGTTTCCCAGTGAGGGTTTGTTTCCACAGACTTGCATATTTGAGCTTCATCAGTCACGCAAATATTAGTATTTGTCTCACATCCCAAAAGGAAACCTACTACTAAAGATGCTGTAAGCTTCCTGACTTTTAGTCTGATTGCTTTTTGGTATGTATAATCAACTTTATTAGTTCTTTACATTTTTAATTCTGTGTTTATTTACTCCTGAAGCTGATCAATTCAATAAGACATTCCTAATGCTTGATTTAACTAATTTATTGTTCAGGGATAGCTGCTGTAAATTGAACAAACAATTCCACCGTAAGTTACCATAAATACTTTATTGTTTGAATTGTGTGTGAGGCTTTTACAAAAGACAGTAAAATTGTCTGTAGATTAAAAAGAAACTGAAGATTTTATCTTTTTCCCCTTTTTTTCTGCCCTAGAAGAGCACGAAGTCAATTGTGCAATGGAAACACTTCACTGAATGTTGCCCAGTCATTGCACATGAAACAATGTTGAAGTTGTGTCACAATGTCAAAGCTAGATTGTATCTGTACATACTAAATTGTATCTGTACATAAGTGGCTAGTTCTGCACTGAAGGTGCAAAATACTTGATAATTACCCAAGAGCTCCAGAGCTGTGGTAAAATCACCAGTTTTCTGCATAGTTTCTCTTTCGTGTATGATGCTTCCAGTTTGCTCCCATTCAGCTACAGCCTTCAGATGCACTGTGCGGTTCCCCTTGGAGGAGCAGTTGCAGTAGACAAAGGGTTCCTTGGTAATGTGGTAAACTCTGTGTGCAACAGGAAAAGATACAGAATCAAAATTGCCATTTACCAAGTGCTTGCATATTTCTGGTTTAAATAGGGGCAAGCTCTAATATATTTTCTTTACAGACAACGTTCCAGTGGTGGTGATTGTAATTCTACTTTACGTCCATATAAATGAGGATTTATGTCTGTGGTATTACCTATAGAACTACAATTAGTACAAGATCCAGAGTAAACTGCTGCATTTTTAGTTAAAGAAACTAAAGATAATGCTAAAAGAATTCACAAAATTGAATAGGAATAGTCAGTAAATTATGAAAACAACTTTTATAGCAGGCAGACTGCTAGCTAATAGTCTGATTTAATTGGGATTTTTCTCAATCAGAACATCTGAATCAGAGCCATCTTGAATACTCATTAAAGCAAACAAAGTAAGCACACCTACCCATCTCCAAAATCCCAGTTGTAGACAAATGATGCTGACTTGAAGTAATGACTTGGGTCATGAAGAGAGAAAGAAATCCGGGTCACTGTGTCCGTGGAGGAACTAGAACCATGTGTGGTAACTCTGCTGTCTTCTATCTGGGCAATGGTGAGGTTCCCTGTGATAAATTCTGCAGAATAAAAAGGAGGAAGAAGAATGACAACATATATGATGGCATATATGACAGGAGAATGACAGCATGCTTCCACAGCATGCTCTGTGTATGTATCAAAACATTCTTTCAGATGAACTGGGTAAATCTTTCTGTGTCCTAGTCCAAGTGGTTAAAGTGTATTTTGTATGTATTACTCAGCGTTGTCACGTGTGCGAATGAGGCAGTGAAATTAAAATATTTATTTAGGGTTATACAATGGGTCATGATAAAACATCCAATAGAACTAAGAGAAATAATCCTGGACTGATTGAGCTCAATAGAAACTTTTACTATTGATTTAAAAATAACCGGTACTAATAGCAAGTATCTAGATTCAGAATCAGGCCAGTACACATATTCATCATGTTTGGGATGGTGTTTTTTGCTTGTTTTGTGGGTTTTTTAAAGGTAGTTTTTCCCCTCTTAGTTTTAGCTATTTCTACAGAAATTAAGATTCGACTACTGTGAATAACAGACGTGCTATACATTGTGAATACAGAACAGGGGGAATGTTTTTGTCTGTGAGAGGTTCTGTGTCGGACAGTGAGTGACAAGGACTGATCTAAAAAATCTTCTCTAACTTATGAATAAAGAGGTATTATGATGAGACACTTATAAGCTTGTTATAAAATTAATGGGCTATTGATTACCAGTAACAGACTTTTATCCTGTTAACAATTCATTAAACTTGGTTAACAGTTTTCTTGGTGATACACAAATAATAGTTGCTCTTACTGTTGGAATGGGGCTGTCAATCCTTGTATCAGAGATTAAGTTAACAATAGCACACCAGTGGTTAATTTGTTAAAAAAAGAAGCATATTTATGGTTATGAATATGAATATTATTTTCAGAAAACTGAAATTGCACTTAGCAACATTTAGAAATGCAACCATGACTTCACATCCAATTTCAGTACACTTGGACAGAGCTTTAAAAGGAAATGTAATGCTCTGCTGTGCTGATGGCCTAAGATTTGCTGTGTCATGCAACAGGGAAAAACAGCAGATGGTCACTGCTGATGGTCATCCTAACTTCAGGTCTAGAAATGCTGGGAGGCAGTAGAAGCAGCATTGTTCTAGGGGTTTGGGCATCACTGACCCATGCTGATGTGTGAACTGCAGCTGCTGAAGCATCTGGTTTCTAGTTTAGTTTTTCTAAGTGACAGGGCAGGAAAACACAGGCAGCATCACACTTTCTTCCTGGATGTAGAGAGGCTGGAGCGTGGCTTTAATGGTACTATAATTGCACCATGCCACTCAAATCCACCTTCAGCCACAGGGCTACAAATCAAGCTCTTTGTCAGGAGCCATATTTACACTGGCTTTCTTCCTGATGCTGGTGAGGGCATCTATACTGAGTTCCTGTAGAGGTACAGGCTGTAAAGCAATTTCACCTATTTTACCTGTAATCTGAAGCACCGTGATGTTTCTTGCAACCGGCCGACACAACCAACAGTTTTTGTGAGTCACCCAGACAGACACAGGGAAAGTGCCAGGAAATTCACCAGTCACATTAATTACAGAGCTAAACCTCTGCTCGGATTTCTCTATCAGAATCAGAGGAGCATAAACCCAGTTGAAGTGATACGAGTTTGATGTGACGTTTTCGTTCTTCATTCTTAGCCTGGCCTGAACAGTAGCTTGAGCTCCCGTTGTGATGGGACTATTGTTGGTTATTTCCAGACTATACAACTCTGTGGAAATCAGAAGAAAAGGAGTAAACTAAACCTTGTTGTATGGCATTTTAAATTTCATTTATTTATTTATACATCTTAACTAGTCAGCTCTAGTTATATGACTCACAATGACACTCATCCAAGCAAAGACTTTGTCACCATAATTTTTTACTTTAAATGTCTGGAACAGAAACTGTTGCATGTGTATATGAGTTCAAATGAATAGCAGTAAGCAACATGTCAGACTGGGTCCTAGAAAATTCATAGGAGAAGGCAGCTTCAATCTAGAACATCACAAAAGCTTTGATGAGGTTTTAAACCTAGAGCTGGGTGCTGGCTGTAGGTTCATTGTCACTAATGATCTAACATGATCACTAGACTTCCAGCTAGTGGAAGAGGCTCAGCTCTAATCTCTGTCCTAAAAAATGTGAACTTTCAAACTCAGGTGAGATTTCATTCACTAGATTCCTTTGCCAGCTCTGTTGAAAAGTTTCTCTGACTTTCCTCATAAACATTAAAAAACTCAGTAAAAGCATTTTCTGTGCTATGGTCCACCTTAAATTTCCTTTTCTAGGGAAGGACCAAAAATCCCAAGGTAAATGCAAGTTGTACCATGCTCTAGTGGCAGATCAGTTGATGTCCAGAGGGACGTGGACAAGCTCAGAATGTGGGCCCATGGGAGTCTCATGGGGTTGAACAAGGCTGAGTGCAAGGTGCTACGTCTGGATTGGGGCAACCTCTGGTACTCAGTACAGGTTGGGGGACGAAGGGATAGAGAAAGACTTGAGGGTACTGGTGGACAAAAATTTGGACTTGAGCCAACAATGTGCACCCAAGGAAGATATGAGGCTGAGATAAAAATCAGCCAGCAGGTTGAGGGAGGTGATGTTTCACAATGAGGGTGGTGAAACACTGGCACCAGTTGCCCGGTATAAACATTCAAGGTCAGGTTGGATTGGGCTCTGAGTTACCAGATTTAGTTGAAGATGTCCCTGCTTGTAGCAGGGGGTTGAACTAGATGACCTTTAAAGATCCCTTCCAACCCAAACCATGCTATGATCCCACGAAATATCAAAGCATGAAAGGTGCAGGAGCTGTTATATTGAACCAGCTCTGCTGCTCAGAATGACTCACCAGTATCTTCTCTGCCATGCTGACTCAAATTGCTTACCTCAGATCTTGCAACTACTGCAATAGGCAATGTTGAGTTTTGTGGAAAGGATACATTAACTTTTCCAAAAATAACAGTGCAGAAGCATTAAAGGATGTGCATGTGTTAAACAACACAATCAACCCCCAAGCCCCAAAACAATAGGAAATGCAAAATAGGTGTGAATTGGGACAGAGCTGGGAACAGGATCTGGTTGCTTGCCTCCAACATGGAGCATGTTCCCTTCCTTGTATGAGAGCTCTTCCTGGTTCTCCTCTCATCAGCAGGGCTGGGCAGAGCAAAAGAGCTGGAGGGTTCTAATGCAGGTGCCTTTCCTTATCCTCTCTCTCAGCAGCCACCAGACTGAATCAGGAACCTGAATCTTAGAACTTTAGAAATGGTGTTTTTCACTCACCCATGACCTCTAATACGAAGGGAGCACTGGGGACAATCAACTCCTGTGCTGGCTTTTCTGCACCCATCAGCTTGGGATGGGATGAAAGAGACAGCGTTTGTGCTTGCATTTTATTTTACAGATCACAGGTACTGAGCAATTCTGGAGGCAGAACTGTGAGGAATGAACTGTAACACTACTGTTCTCATTTCACAGCACAAGAGATGGCCGCGAGTTTATTTTTTTGAGTTAAAAGAGAAATGCTTGTGATTTGATGAAACCTAGCAGAGGGAGGTTTCATGTCTCTAGAAGATTCAGGCTATGCTCCACTTGGTTTCAGCAGAATTCAGGGAAAAAATAGCCGACTACCTCATGCTTATCTAGCACTTCTCCTTGGAGGTTATCAGTGCTTTACAAATCAGGGCCATACCGGCCCAACAGCTGCAGCAGCTGGAGGTTCAGTGGCTAACCCAAGGTCACCCAGGGAGTGACCGGCACAGCAAGACACTCCATCCAGTTCAGGGATTTCTCCTGCCTTTCCGACCTCTCTCTGCAGAATGGAGCTCTGTGAGTCTCACAGCGAGGGACAGCAGCTGCCCAGGTGCCTTGTGACCCGCGGCGCGGGGTCAGCGGAGGAAGCAGAAGCGCAGCTTTTGGGTTGGAAGTGCAAAGCAGAGCCCTGGCTGCCCCATCTTCACTGCAGGCACCAAGATCGCAGCGCCTGAGAATAAAGTCTGGGGTGATGGGAGCGTACTCAGAGAGAGCTGCTTCCATCCCTTGTCACATCTCTCAGGCTCGGGGAGGAAACCACCCCCACGCATGATGCAGCTCACTCTTGAGGTCTGAGCCCTCGCCCCCGCACCCTTCGCCCGCTCCCCGGTGGCGATGCCAGCGCAGACCGGCGGCCCCTTACCTGCGGCCGGGGCGCGACCGTGGCCGAGCTGCAGCAGCAGCAGCAGGAGCAGCGTGCAGAGCAGCATGCTGAGGGCTGCGGGGGCCGGGTCTGGGGCCGGCTCTCGAACCGGGAGCGGGTCCGGCCGCGCTGCCACCCCGGCGCTGCGGCTCCTGTGTCCGCGCCCCCGGGCCGCTCCCCCTCCCTCGGCGGCGCCCAGCCCGCCTCTCCCGGGGGCAGTTCCTGCGGGATCGCGCTGCCAGCGCGGCCGGGCTGCAAAGCCGCCGGCGGCTTAAACAAATAGTCAATAAAAACCACAAATGCCTCGCGTCTGCCGAGGGCATGGGGACACCCCGGAGCGTTTGGGAAGGGGTTTGCGCTGCGCTTTGGTTGCGGCAAGCACATATGAAGTATTCCTGCGGCGGCGCGGGGATGCCTCTGCCGTGGGCAGTTCGGCTGCTGTTAGCGGTCCCGCGGGGCTCCGAACGGCCTGTAACGGGTGCACTGCTGGCGAGAAGCGAGAGCAAAAGCGCCGGAATGTGTTTTTCTGGTGTTCTTTTTTTGTCGTTTTATTTTGTTTTTTTCCTGTTTCGTTTTGTATATTATGGTTTTAATTAGTTTACTTTTATTTTTTATATTTTCTTAAACTCAGCATTCGAAGCCCTTTCTCACTCCTGGCCGCAGTTCTGTTTCTTGCGGCGGATCAGTCTCCCGGCGCGCTTCGCTCCCCCGGGGCACCGGCGGGCCGGGGTGGGCCCTGCGCTGGCCGGAGGCACCGGCCACGGCCGCCCCTGCCCCGGTAACTCCTCGCCCGCTGTTACCGGCGGCCGCGGCATCAGCGGAGCCTCCGGGGACGCGCGGACAGGCGGGGCTCGCCTCAGGCAGCGGCCGCTGGCATCGCGGGGCGGGCCAGGGCGGAGCTGTGCGAGGGTCGCGGGGCCGGCGAAGGGAGCGGGCGGTACCGCGGAGCTGCGCGCCCGCCTCCGCCCGGGGAGAGGCGCGGGAGGCGGCACCGGGAGGAGGAGGCACCGGGAGGAGGCGGCCGGAACTGAGCTCGGGCGCTTCCGTCGCGCCCATGCGCTGCCGGCGGCCTCCGGGAGCAACAAAGGAAGGAGCCGGGGGGCCGCGGGCGGGCGGTTCCGGGGAGCCGCGGGGTGAGGAGCGCGGTGGCGGTGCCCGCTGCGGCCCGGGCCTGGGCGCGGTGAAGCGGGGCGGGGAGAGGCGGGACCGGCGCGCCGCGGGCAGGAGGGAGCGGTCGGAGCCCCGCCGGAGGCCTGGGGCCGAGCACGGCACCGGGAGGGCTGAGGGACGGAGGGGGAAGCGCCGCTGCGGCCGCTCACGGTGCCCGTGTTCGCAGGGCGGAGATGGGCTCGGCGTGATGGCGCCCTGGCAGCGGGGAGCGACCCGGGCGAGCAGCGGTGCGGCGGGGAAGGTGAGGGGCGCCGGGTCCCGGCCGGACCTGGCCGGGAGCAAAACGGATGGGAAGCCCCCAGGGGAGGAGGGAGGTCGCCGGTCTCTCAAGGTAGATGTGATTTTAGGCTTCTTTACTAGCGAGACAGGCAGCCTGTGGCGGCAGGACAGTGAGTCCCGCAGGGGTGTGTCCCAGGGGTGTGTCCCAGGGTCGCTGTAAGTTTGGGATGTGGCTGGGTAGGAAGGCAGGGTGACAGGTGTGCGGTGTCGGGAGCATCCCTGAGCCTGGAGCCTGCTGCTGGGAGAGACAACCGGGCAAAACACGTGAATGCTTGTGCTGTGAAGAGCTCAATAACCTTTTTATCTGTTAGCCCAGACCTGTCACAGTGAGTGCTGTACATGCTTGGTGTTGTATTTGTAAGCCTAAGTAAGTGTTCCACTTGTGGTTTTTGGAAAAGGTGTCTTCTTCAGTGTGTCAGAAGAATGGATGTAGGTGATGGAATAGCTGCTGTTAACAAGCTATATAAACTAACAAATACTTCTGTATTCTTTTGTAGGTGTATTGATCTTGATTTTATGTACTGAAAGCTGATCTTTCCTCCTCCAAGATGGCATTTGTTTCAGCACAAGGGCCTACGGTGGTGGACCAAACCACTTTGATGAAAAAATACCTTCAGTTTGTGGCTGCTCTTACAGATGTCAATACACGTAAGACATTTTTCTTATTGAAAATTGCAGATCTTCAGTAGTTTGTTTCACAAGTGTTGCAGACTTTTTCAGACAGTTGATAAATGAGACAGTGAAGTCTGTCAAATTCACTTTGAAATTTGTTTGAGTTTTGATTTTTGAAGAAGCAAAATGATGAGAAGCACTTGCATGAGCCAAAGTGAGTAAGGTGAGTGTGTGTGTGCAGATGTGTGGTGGTTGTTTGAGAGAGCTGTGTGTCTTATAAGTGGGCAGTGATTGCTAAACTGATAAGATCTGATTGCTTCTTCAATCAATGAGCCTGGTGTTTTCCTTCATGACCTTGTTTTACACTCACTTTTTTTGCTTGAATTTCCATTTTCAGCTGATGAAACCAAATTGAAAATGATGCAAGAAGTCAGTGAGAATTTTGAGGTAAATAAAAAGATAACAACTCCAAGCAACAAAACCCCAACAACCCCCCCAACTTTCTACAGTGGCAGTCTTTCTTGTGCTTAATGTATATTAATTGAATTTCTGATGTTATGCAGTTATAATATTAATAGTAGCATCCTGTGACTTATGATTTATATGTTTACAAGTCATTGATTTTAGATTTGCATTTAGGAATTAACCAGGTTGTTGAAGAATTACATTTGGACTTAGAGAGCTTTCATTGCAAAATCTTTATTCATTAAGCATTTAAATAAAAGTGAAGTAAGAGATTTTTCTTCTATTTTTGAATGCTATTAAATATCTGTACTTAAAGCTTTCTTTTATGTAGTTCAAATGTGTATTGTGCCCTTGTGAAACAGAGGCCCTTCTGATTCCTCTGAGTATTCTATGGTGTGAGAGAGGAGTTGTCAGATGCAGAATCTGACATCAGGAATGGAGATGTCTCCAGTGACGTCTTTTGCATGGTGGTGGAGTGATGTTTTAGATGAGCAGCAGAGAAAATGTGAAACACAAATTAACCTTGTGTTAGCAGAAATTATACTTTAGTTGAATACCTAATTGTTATGTGCCGGTTCTGAAGTTACAGAAAACTAAAAATCATTCTTGTGGAGTTTTTTATCTGCTTAAGCTATTTCTGAAACAATTTATCTGACTAAAAGAAGAGTTTTAACTGCTTAATCTGGTGATCTGTTTAGAATCTGAAGACTTGGTTGATTCTCTTTGCTCTTCCCACCAGTAGGGAAGAACTTGATCAGGATTTGTTTTGCTAATGTTCTCTTGGAATTTACTTGGTTCTGTGTATGTGTCAGCAGATACTTAGTCATGGAATCTATTCAAAATTCACTGAAAATGGTTAATAGTGGCTTTGAATGTAACTGAATATAATCTGTGTGATGTCTATTTTATAACTCCCCATTTTTTTGTTCTTAATTAGAATGTGACATCATCTCCTCAATATTCTACATTCCTGGAACACATCATCCCTCGGTTTCTCACCTTTCTGCAGGATGGGGAAGTTCAGTTTCTGCAGGAGAAGCCAGCACAGGTAAACTGTGTGGAGCATCTCCTGCCTTTTTGCTGTGAAGTCCTTGATTAACCTAATGAACTGATTTAAGATTTGTTAAAAATAGACTGTCATTTGGAGTGGAACTGAAGAAGTGCTGTTTCTAAATAAGTTACCTATAAACTTTGCTAATCTGGGCTTCTGTGAAACAGGAGGAAAAGTAGATGCAACAGATTTGACTTTCTTACTGGAATACTACATATTGTTTCAAATTACTGACTTTACTGAAGGTTAGGAGTGAAAGGCAAAAATTGAATCTTTGTCATTAAGTACTTAAAATTTATTCCTTAGAAAAAGTCTGATTTTTTTAACTGTAAATTTGTTAAATTTGCCTCATTCCCATAGGCGGGTAGTAGGAAGGGTTATGTCTTTGTATACAAGCCTGTGTCTATATGAAATAAAATTGATTTTTTTTCTATTTCAACATGCAGAATTATTAAGCTGAAAAAGATGCTGCAACCAGTTATTGGGTTTTGTAGGCTTTTCAAGAAGTTTTGTCACATCATTATTTTTCCTTTTTTTTTTTTTTGTTTTACAGCAACTCCGGAAGCTTGTGCTTGAAATAATTCACAGAATACCAACAAATGAACATCTTCGTCTTCATACCAAAAATATCCTGTCTGTCATGTTCAGATTTCTAGAGGTACTTTTTACTTCCTCTTAAAACTGTTTGAAATTTTCAGAAATATTTTCCTCTACTTTTTTCATCTCCAAAATTTTCTGGGGGTAGGATTTTCAATAGCTGTGCTGCTGGAGCAGGAATGGAAGGACATTTATTTAAGCTTCACCCACGCCCTCCCTTACCAGCTACTGGTTTTCTGCATGTTCTCTTCTGCCCTTTGGAGAAACTTGGATTAAACAAATGCAGGGAACTGTTCTCATGCTGGCAAGGTTTTCTGGAAGATATCTTATTCTTGGGAGTTTGTTTTGTGTCTTGGAATTCACAACACTGTCATTTGAAGCTCACATGGGGGTCTCTGAGGGGCAGTGAGAACAGATCTGATGGTACAGAGTGGTTGAAATATCTGGGTTTTATTCCCCCAGGGGTGGATTTAATTTCAGCTGTACTCTAGGACTGCAGGGTATCCAAGGAAAGGTGTCTTGTTCACGCAAATCCATGTTAATGGAGCACGTTGGATTGTTGAGAAGAGTATAATTTTACAGGGTTTTGGAAGTGCCCACTGAGTAGTTGAAGAATTTAGTGAGCAGTGGACTCACTAAGAAGTTTCTTTTTTTTTCCTAGACAGAGAATGAAGAAAATGTACTGATTTGCTTAAGAATAATTATTGAATTGCATAAACAGTTCCGACCAGCAATCACTCAAGAAGTAAGTCATTACTCTTGTTACATGGTATAAAACTTGCTGCCATGCTCTTTAGTATTGCTATTTTGTTCAAGTGGGTTGATTGGTTTCTTTTGCTGTTGTCCTTGTATGTTGCCTGACC